CAGAGATGGAGAAGAGAGGGTTTATTATAAGACTTGGCTCCAATAACATTGGAAAGTTGAAAAGTCCCAGCAAATGCTTTCTACGTGGTGGAGAACCAGGCATGCTGGAGGCCTGATTCAATCTGTGCTCTAGAGGACCTCTGCATACTTTTGGAGAAGACATTATCAGACAGCTTGTGTTCTGGTTGAATCCCTTTTGTTCCAGACACAGAGAAACTAGTTAGACTCAGTTCCCCATATGTGGGATTAGGCTCTGGCCTAGAGTAGAACCAAGTCTTTATGCTCCTATTCTTCAAAGCGGCCTTGAAAGAAAAACTGTATGTTCTTTTCAGCACACCTAACCATGATTGGATAAGAAAGACAGAAAAAAAAGTATAGCAATGACATTGAGTAAAGAATGGAAAAAAATTTTTTTCTTACAGGACTCAAGCAAAGAAAACCAATTTCCACCAAAGACATACAGAACATTTTTGATAAAAGGATTCCATAGATATGCAGGATTTAACAGAAACCTTAATCTCCTAGAACCAAAATTACTTTATTTCTGAGGTCTCCAATCCCCAGAGAAATGAATGTTTTAACAAAGCATATCCCTTAAAAAGAAATAACTCGTAAGTTAAATAAACACAGAGGGCTACATAGCTCCCTTTTATTTGAAAAATGGGCGTCCGGCCCAACAGTCCACTTGGAAAGGGAGCCATAAAAGCTCAGAGCCCTTAGGACAAACTCTACACTTCCTCATAAATCAGAGTCAATCTCTAAAGGAGAAACAGTCAATTCCCTTTGCAGAAGCAAGACCACCCCATGCTTACTTGTCACTCTCTAAGGACAGGGAAGAAGACTGGGTTAAAACTCCTCTATCTGGGCTGGGAAGGTAGCTCAGTGGTAGAGCGCTTGCCTTGCAAGCCTGAGGCCCTGGGTTCGATTCCTCAGCACCACATACGAAAAAAGCCATAAGTGGCGCCGTGGCTCAAGTGGTAGAACACTAGCCTTGACCTGAGGAGCTGAGGGACAGCGCCCAGGTGCAGAGTTCAGGCCCCACAACCGGACCCAAAAAAAAAAAAAAAACTCTATCTGAATTTTAAGAGCATGTTCTACTAATGTAAACTTATTATGATTCCACATGCCTGTGGAATCCTATACGGTACATGTTAAAACTGAAGAGGAGAGCATGCTAGTAACAAAGTAGAAAACCTATAAGCCATCTGTTGCACACTATCACCATTAAGCTAGAGCTTTATGGTGGCTCACTGGAGTTCCATATCCAGAAGATTTCCTGGAAATAGAGAATATTACAGACTGTCAGGAGTCAGACTGCAAGTCACACAAAAGATCAAGGCAGCGCTCGGATCACAATAGCTGATGATCACCAGCCTCACTGAGCATGCATAAAAACAATATTTATACAAACAATGCTGCATAAACACACAATCTCCAGTGAACGAAAATTACATCAATCAAGAAAAAAATTATGGAAAGGCTCAGAAAGCTAAAATTTTCCTGACAAATTCAATTGTGTAACATCCTCTAGAATCTTAGTTTATCTAAGAGCAACAATGACAACAACAACAAATTCTATTTCTACTCTCCTGTCTAAACTTGTTTAAAATACACGATTGCATTATAATTTTGTCTTCAGAATATTGATCATAATCTAAAATAAACTTACTTCCACCTGGTATGGCGGTCTAGATCCATTGTCACTGCATTCAGTATGTAGAAATAGGAAGATCACTAGACCATACAGACTAGAACCATACAGTAAAGCTCTAGGACAGACTAAGCTATACAAGAAGACTCTATCTCAATCGATCAATCAATCAACATTTAATTGATTATTAAGCTTTTTTTCCTTTAATTTACTCACACATAGATTATAATTCTTAGAATGGTACCTATATATGAAGAATATGTCACAATGCCTGACACACACAGGACTTTATTATTTGCTGAATACACACATGTCTAAGCACAGGGTCACAAATCTTCAATTTCTCTCTCTCTCTTCTTCCTCCGTTGCAAAGCTCATACAAATGCCTCTCACTGATCGGCTCTAAAGAGGAAGCATAAAGAGGAACCATATGGGAAAGGAACTTATTTCTCCTCCAAGAACGTGATAGTGGTGAAGCTAACTTGAAAATAGACAATCTGTCTTGAGAGAGATGAAGTTATACTCTGTACTCTGGGACTCACAGCAGGGTCCCAGTTGTAAAAAGTTCCTTAGTATCTCCAAGGTGCCATCAAACATAAATGCACAAAGTCCTATCAACCTATTGGAAAAAGTTTGGAAAGTTGGCAAGAAAACAGAAGCGCTCCTCCATAGGTGTTATTTAATTAGCATGATACTGAGGGCCACATGAGCAGAGATCATAAGTAAAACACTGTAGGGCAGAACAAAGAAGGGTTGTTGTCCTGTTGTGATGGAGGTTGTTGTGTTAACTGTTTCCCTAATGCTTAATGAGCACTATTCCTAATGTCAAAATAGACAGAAATGGGGCCTGGCGTAAGCTACATGCAGGTGTGCAAGCAGCTAATGGAAGTGACAGCTAAGATGACATATAACCAGGGTGTTGAAAAATGAATTATCCATGTGGTTTAAATGGGCCAGATGATATATTGGAACACCATGTGGCTGAACACAAAGCATGGTATTCAAGATGGAAGATCCAAATCCTAACTCTGGCTGTAACACAGACCACTTTTATGAGACTGAATGAGTCATTTAAACCACACCATGCTGTGGTTTCTCCCTCAGTCAAATCAGTGCAGCAAGATGTATTGCCCAGTCACAACACAGGATGTTGCGAGGAAACAAGGGAGGTAGCAACAAATGCACCTAGTCAGCGCAGTGCAAGGTGCACAAAAGGTACAAAATGCTGGGCCCGTGCATGGCTGCTGAGACCTTTGCAAAGCAAATATTTCTTGACACTAACATTTCCACTCCTTCAAACTGCCATGGTGCACTAAAAGTGTTAAAGCACACTGCTATCATTACACATCCCCTGTCTTCAGATGAATTACAATGACTGCAAATATTCAGAATTGAACAATTCATTTTAGTTATGCCAAATTTTTGCACAGTTTTGCCATAGCCTGTGAGATCCCCTCAGGCTAGAAATATGCGCCCTTGTCTCTGTACTGACAATCTTATATTTAGACCTTGCCAACAGGCTGGTTAGGTTGCTCCAAATCAAATAAACTCTGAAGCCCACACAGTAAGTATTAGATCATTACTGGACTGGAGGTACACAGGCTCGAGGTGCAAACAAACTCAGGGCAAAAAGGAATCACCAGACTTGTATTAGGCAAAGAGGTAATTATGGCTCAGTGGGAAAAGAAGAAGACAAGGTTGTCAGAAGTGCCGAAGTTAAATAGTAGCTCTGTCACTTATGGTGTGACCTTGGTCAATCTTGAGCAGTTATTTAAGCTCAGCTGTAATATCGGAGTAAATATTTTACCTTATGAACAAAGGCAAGCAAATATGCATTCATCATTCACCACACAAAGCACCTGTCAGAGTAAAAAACCTAAGTACATTAAAGCATAAGTACATAAGAATAGCACAGCCTTTTGCTGTATGTGATACATAAATGTTCTGTGTCTTAGTTGTTATATCTCTAAACTAATGACAATACCACAAGCTTTCTTTTGAGTGCCTTTGTGGGAATTGAATCGAATTCTGTGTGAGCCATTTAGAAAAGTCTGTGGCAAAATAGCATTATTATTGTTATTACTTTCTCAATCAGGAGTAGATTGTGCGAGAACCAAATTAGATGGATGAAGGTCTATGGCCAAAATAAGTCATAATCGATACCAAATGATTTCCCAAATTCTCTTTTAGAGTCAGGATTGCCTCGATTTTCATCTTACTTTCTCATTTCTTTTCTTAGAATCAAGAAAGTTTTGTGGAGCCTGGGTGCTTCTTGCCAAGAGTTTGTAAGCACTCCCTCCTCCGAGAAAGCCTCACCATGGGAGCTGATGAGTAGCTAGAGCATTAAAACACCACACGAAAAAGCAGACTGAGCAATTATATTTCCACAAAAGTCAGAGTCGATTTTCTAAATTTTTTCTTGGAAGCAAAACAAGAGGAAGCAAGCACAGAGGGGAAAAAATCCTTTTTTAAAAAAATATTCTTCTCCACTTACTTTACATTGAAGCGTCTCCTGAGTGAGAAACAAAATTATTTTAAGTAGCCCTAAATTAAAGTCACCTTGAAAATGCTATTCTAGCCCATATCCCCATTCAATATTCCACAACACTCATGATAAGATTGAAGAATTATCATAAATGGGGTGGCTTATTAAAGAAACCATTCATTTCTCATAGTTCTTTTGGCTGGAAAATGCAAGGTCAAGGCTTCCACAGAGACTATGACTTCAAAGGACCCCCCCCCCTTCCTTTTAGATGAGGCCTCCTAACCAGAGCCTTGAATGGTGGAAAAATCAAGTGAGTTCCCCGGGCTTCCTTTATGACAGTACTGTCTTCATTCACAAGGGATTTGCCTTCATGACTTTATTACTTCCTACAGGCTCTCTGACTTTACACATTGAGGAGTTGGCCCCAAGACATGAATGGACACAAACATTAAGTCTAAGGTAACTTTACACCATTTCTTCTCATCTCAAACCTCCAAGCTTTTACTATATGTATCTCAGCAGATACCATCACGGAGAGCTCACTGTTTCCCTGCAAGACATATTCCATTGGCTTTCTGGAAACAGCCTAGAAGGATGCTTTCATCACTTCATCCTTTATTATTTTTTTTACATCTGCTGATTTAAAGGGAAGAGCTGTTTCTCTTCTCACTCATGCAAACCTTGTGTCATGGGTCCCATTGACCCATGTCATTGAGTCTGCTATAGTTCTCTTGTATTTAATTATCTCCAACCTTCCATCTATGCACAATGCCCCCCCTCCACATTGGCTCCTCTACACTACTATGTAATCTTAGTAAAATATTAGGCTAGTAGAATAAAAAAAGAAAAATATATATATCCTACCTTACACTACTCTGGTGTCAATTCTATCATTTTCATCTTCTTGAAATTTGCAGCTCAAAATCGTTATCTGAAATTGACATCTCCACTTCTTAACTTCTTTTTATTTCTCTTTAACTCATTCAGAGATGTTTTCTGTTCCACTGACACTGTTCTTGCTGAGATAACCAAAGGATCTCCACCCACATCTGTAAGTAAGATGATGATTGTTTTTATCTTGATTGAACTTGCAATAGCACTTAACTTTGTAAACCAACATCCTTTTAAGGAAACATTCTTTCAAAAAGTATTCAGTGCTAGGCACCACTATTTCATAATTTTCCACAGAATTCTTTTTTTTTTTCCGGTTCTGGGGCTGGGCCTACACGCTATCCCGCAGTTCCACCACTTGAGCTACAGTGCTACTTCCGGAGATAAGAGTCTCACAGACTTTTCTGCCTGGGCTGGCTTTGAACTGTGATCCTCAGATCTCAGCCTCCTGAGTAGCTAGGATTACAGGCATGAACCACCAGCACCTGGATATCCACAGAATTCTTTAGCTGTCTTGTTCAGGTCTCTTGGTATCTCCTTTGCTGACTTTTTTTGTCTAACCATATACTAAATATTGAAATTGATAAATAATCTCCCCAAGACTCCAGGCTCTTCTCTCTTTATATGCAGCTAGCTCCCCCAAAGATGGTACACATTCCTATGTCTTCAATACACTTCTCATCTAGGCTGACCTTGTCTGACCTTTATGTCCATCTCTCTCAATATGTGGTCCAAATCTCTAGTTGAGATCCCTTACAGGCATCTCAAAGTGATTTCCAAGCCTGGACATAGAAGCTACATTCACACAAGTGCCCAAGCAAGGAATAATCCCTGACTAATTGTTCTTAATTATTATACGTACAATTCCCAGTTAAAAAAATCTCAAACTCACCAGCTGCTGGTGGATCACACCTGTCATCCTAGCCTATAATCTAAAGATCAAGGTTCAAAGCCAGCCTGGGCTGAAAAGTCTCTGAGACACTTATTCCCAATTAACTACTCAAAAACCAGAAGTGGAACTTTTGCTTAAAGTGGTAGAGCATTAGCCTTGAGCAAAAAGAATTCACAGACAGCACACAGGCCCTTGGTTCAAGCCCCATAAAGACAAAAAGAACAAAAAATGATTTCAGACTCATCATTTCCGAGTTGAAGCATCAATTTACAAGAATAGTCTTCCTTCTTTCTCCTACACCATAGGATCACATAGTATTCCTTCATTTTCCAACTCTGCATAAATTCAAAGCATTATTTCCTGTGCTTTCCTACTAAACAATTCAAATCTCAGAGCTAAAGTGCCACTGGTATAGATTCCACTTGGGATTGGATGCTTAAGATCTAGAAACATTGAGGGCAGGCAAAATCAGTGTAGGGCTGGAGCAATCAGGTAGAATTCATTTTCAACCTTCCTTTCTCTTTCTGTTATTTGAAATCCTCTTTCACATTAGATGGTGCCTACTCATTTTGAGGGAGTAATTTGGCTTACTCATTTCATCAACTTAAAAGCTACTCTGTTCTGGACAGCTAAGGACACTCAAAAATAATGTTTTATAATGTTTAGTAATGTTTGTTTCTGGGCATCCTTGATCCTAGTCAAATTGAAATTAACCATAAGGTTACACTGTTACAATGGAATTCTATTCCTCCATCAGAAAGAATGACATTGCCCCATTTGTTAGGAAATGGAAAGGCTTGGAAAAATATATATTAAGTGAAGTAAGCCAGGCCCAAAGAAACATAGGTCCCATGGTTTCTCTTATTTGCAATATCTAGTATATGTCTGCATCAAGCAGAAGAGGTCAGGTAAGGTGATGTTAGGAAAATGGAATCTAAGATATGTATTCAAATGTTTTTTTTTCTTTCATGTGATTGTTTGTAACACATTTATAAGATTATTTCTTTGTTGCTTTGTATGTCCCTCCCCCACAGGATAACCCGTGCTTTCACTGTATTTCATGTCGGCATAATTTGTGGAGGGGAAAGGGAAAAACAAATCGTTTAAATAGGGATACAGGTGGATCCATTGCAACAATGAGATGTACAAGTTGTTATGTCGAAAACGAACTTTACAACTTTGGTGGGGGGAGCAGGGACGATTGGGTGGGGAGGCGGAGGGCGGGGGAGGATGGGAAGGGATGCGAAGGGGAAACAAAGGTGGAGGCTACAATGCTTGATAAGAAATGTACTCATTACCTGGCCCATGTAATTATATAAAAAAAAAAAAACATGCCACTTCTTCCCCTTTTCATACTTTGGTTACTGAAAGCATTATTTGAGTCTTCACCACAGCTGCCTGTATCTTTGTGTCAACTCTAATGTGGAACGCAATGTTGTTTTATGGTCTGCCTGATAGAAGAGTAGATTACAAAAGCATTAATTAAAGGTTATAACTTTACACACTGGACAAGAAGGAGTAGGTTTGTAATTTTGACAACTAAAGAATTTAGTTCATTTTTTTCATGAAGTTGGAGGAAGGTTTTTTTAAAAAAAATATTTAAATTTCAATAGGAAAATATTAGTGAGCCAAGTGCAATATCACACCTACACTAAACAAGCGCCATGCATTGTTTTTTACCAGAAAATAGGAAAAAGTAGCATTTTAAAACAAGCAATTCTTAATGTGAAAAAACCAAAACTTCAATAATGAGTATTTTAGTGAAAAAAATAAAACAACATGATAACTCCCTTGGGCTTTTTGCAAAACTCACATAATGTGAAGCATGCGAAGCAACACCAGAGACAATTTGAGAAAATCATTGTCTTTGTGTATAATATTAAGATCTTAATGGTGTTGAAAATTATCCGGCAACATATTGAACTCAGATGAGAAATGAAATCTTCAAGAGTGATATTGGCCTTAGAGATATGCAATCACGTAGAGAGAACGCCACCTATTTCATTCTCTCAGGCATCTAGAGAATACTGCTAACGTTGGTGGTGGTTTTCCTGTTCATGCTGTGTCATTGACATGGGTTAATCATATAGAGAAAATATACATCAGCCCTCTGACTCAGAGGTTTTTATCTGTTGAGAGATATGGACGTGTAACTAAGTGCAATCGAAAAGGTTCAGTTAACTAAAATATACAGATGTGAGAAATAACAATGAAACTTCAATGTAGAAAAAAATCCACTTAAAATGCTTGTAAAACAAATTGTAGTGGGAGAGTTCACCATATTGGGGGAAAATGAACAAAAGGGGAAGGAGAATGAATATGGTAGAAGTCATGTAGGAACAAGTATGAAAAAACAATAATGAGGTTGTTGAATGTTTTTAAGAAAAAAGGAAGGAAGTCACAGAAAATGATGAAAGGGATACAGGTTATACATGTACAGAAATATCACAACAGAACCTTATTATACAACCAGTACAGACTAATAAAAAACTTCAATATGCTTGTTTCTGTAATAAAGATAATACAGAGAAAGAAGCATGAATAGTAAATTTCAATGGTTCAAGTAAGCTCTTGAAAAACATATCATGACCCTCAAACCAAGTTTTGATATTTGTTCAAAAATTCCATTATTTATTATCCAGGTAGCACATTTTCTCTACTAAAACATTGAATAGTACAAAGTGATATTACACCTGCAATCTAATACTACCACCTAGAGTTACACATGATAAAATTTTAGACTTTTTCTCCCTAGTATCAATCTACCTTTTTATTTTAGCAACCTAGCACTGTATCTTATACCATGTTTTATGACAGCATATGTATTAGTCACTTTAAGTTTACTATAAAAAACCTGAAAACAGTTTAATAAATTTCTAATATTTTGTAAATTTAATTTTTATCACATGAAATTATGTTTCATATGCCAGTCTTCCCTCTTTTTACCTACAAGACATATGTCCCAAAGTCTGAGTACCTACCTGAAACTGTGGGCAGTACTTTAAGAAGTCATCTTCATAAATTTTCTACTTGTCTGAAAATGAGAATTTGGTATTGAAATGGTAGATGAGAGAGTGTGTTTTCTTAAAGGAATATTTTTTGATAAATAAGGAGTATTTGTCTGAGAACAGAAGATAACACACAAAGGCACACAGTACTGGCACATAACAGTGGATTTTAAATCTACAAGCATGCTCTCTTTCTACTTCACAAAGTTCAGGTAGTTCCCTCCTGGATTTGGAGAGAGAAGGAACATACAGAAACCAAATCATAAATACACTTTTATATCATGATCAGTAACTTATCTATTATCCTGAAGGCAATGGAAATTCAATGAATGTTTGCTGAATGTAATTGATTTACCCACTTAGGAAGCATTTGCTTCCTTAAGGAAATCAGACTAGTTATAGAATATGTAGCAAAGGCCCATGTGAATATTCTTTCTTCAGGAAGTGTACTTTATTATCATTGGAGAAATTAAAGAAAGCCTCATTAAATAATTAATTCTAGTTAATTAGTCAAAAATATAACTGCAAATGCTTTTATATGAAATACTTTAAACATGATTTTTGAAATCTGAGATGAATACAAACCATTGGTAAAGTCCTTGAATAGGGACTGGCTAATCAGAGATTTCTACCTCCTGTTCTTTTGCATAAATCAAACCCACAATTCATATGACTATGACTCATTTTTCCATTTCTTTGAGATAAAGCAAAATGTGTTTAAAATGTAAAAAAGCATCTTAAATGCTGACTCTGTCACCAACATTACCTACAAAGTTTTATGCATTTTCCAACTTCATAATGTTTTAGTTGTGTGCATATGATCACATAAAATGATATTATCAAAATGAACTCCAAGAACTGGAAACAAGAGGGTTTGTTTTTGTTTTTGTTTTTTTCTTTGTTACTATTTTTGTTTTTGTCTTGTTTGTAAGTTTATCTGTTTGGGAGTAAGTCCAGAATGGTGGGGCAAAGGGTTAACTAATGCAGTTTTGATATTCACTAGACACTGTTAAAACTAAGCTATACAACTTGCAGGTGGGAATGTGAGGAAAAAACTGGGAAAGAGAGAGAAGGGATGAGACTATTTTTAAAAAGTAATGTATTCATTACCTGACTTATGTAACTGTAAATCCACTGTATATAACCTATACAATAATAATAGAAGGAAATAGCAAATAAAATATTTAAATCTGAAAAATGTATACTGAGA